TAATGACGGCTCATTTTAATAGACGCTAGTAATTCATTTTTTTTAATCAATAATATCATAAATTTATCAATAATAATATACTACGATAGAAACTTCGTTCCAACCGAGTGTTTCACGACACTCCGCATGTTTTTTTCTTCAAAAATCTACTTAAAGCTTATTACTTGGAACTCTAATATTTCCCATCATAATTTTCGTCCTTAATTTTATCTATCTTACCTATCCTCAACTGTCATCATCTTGTGCTTTATTTTTTTTTTCCTTTTACTTATAAATTGCCAATTTTTTGTACACCTTCCCTAATCGCAATTCATTGAAAACAACAGGGCAAAAAGGTTTTCTTGAAGAAATCGCTTCAAGAACGATAAAACCGCCCGTTGTACTTTCTGTATGCTAGCTGGCCAGGCAGACATTTTTCTGCCTCTCCGACGATTCTTCGTCCTATAATAAATTCTTAAATTCGTTTTAAAAATATTGAGGGTCACTTATCGGCATAAAAACAATCCTATCGCTCAAGTTGGACAAAACTGCACACAGTGTGCAATATTTAATTGAAATCAGTTCAGAAGTTTAAGAGTTTTGGTTCGAAATCGCTGGTTTTTGAATTCATAAAACTTCTTTAGTAAAGTTATTTTAAAATTTTGCGGGTCAGCAGCTGGCCGACTTCATGGAGAAAGAGGGACTCTTTATGATGAACTCTTTCTTCCAGAAGCGGCCCCACAGGAAGTGGACCTGGTCGAGCCCTGACGGTTCGACAAAAAATGAGATTGACTTTATTATGACGAACAGACGACAACTGTTCAGTGATGTCTCCGTGATCGCGAGGGTGAAAACTGGTAGCGATCACAGAATGGTTAGAGGCACACTGAACCTAAACGTTAAGTTGGAGAGGTCTCGTCTAATGAAGTCAACGCTCCGTCCCCCTCGTGCTCTGGTCCAAAGTCCCGAAACCTTTCAGCTCGAGTTACAAAACCGTTTTCAGTGCCTAGAAGACTGCAATGAAGTGGACGATATGAATGACAAGCTCGTGGAAACTGTCCATGCGGTCGGAGCTAAGTTCTGCAAGACCCGCCGCAGAAGAACACAAAAACTCTCCGATCACACTCTTAATCTCATGGCTGTTAGACGGGAGATGAAGCTACATTGTTCAACAGACTTGACAGCATACAGGCATCTGAACAGACAGATCTCCAAATGCATGCGGCGGGACTTACGCAACTTCAATACAGCTCGTATTGAAGAAGCGATCGAGCGGAACCAAGGCTCCAAAGTCTTTGCCAGAGATCTGTCTGCCAGAAAGAGCCAACTGTCAAAGTTGAAGACGGAATGTGGCAGCATCGTTTCCGGGACACCTGAGATTTCGAGTGAGATTGAGAGGTTCTATGGGCAGCTGTACACGTCATCGTTGGAGCCACACGCAAGTGTGAGTAACGATCCAAGAGCGAGTCTCATCCGACACTATTCCGAAGATATCCCGGACGTCAGTCTGAGCGAGATTAGAATGGCTCTCCAGCACCTTAAAAACGGTAAGGCCCCAGGCGAGGATGGAATTACAGCTGAGCTTCTGAAAGCGGGTGGAAGACCGGTACTGGAAGTCCTTCAGAGGCTCTTTAATTCCGTCCTCCATGGTGGCATTACACCGGAGGCGTGGAGCAGAAGTGCGGTGGTCTTGTTCTTCAAGAAAGGTGACAACGCTCTCTTGAAGAACTACAGACCGATTTCCCTTCTGAGCCGCGTCTACGTGCTGTTTTCGAGAGTCATTACGAATCGTCTCGCGCGCAGACTTGCCGACTTCCAGCCTCCCGAACAAGCCGGTTTCCGAAAGGGCTTTCGCACCATAGACCATATACATACCCTTCGGCAAGTTGTACAGAAGTCCGAAGAGTACAATTTGCTACTATGTCTGGCGTATGTGGACTATGAGAAAGCCTTTGATTCCATCGAAATTTGGGCGGTGCTGCAGTCCCTTAAGCGGTGCCAAGTTGACTGTCGGTATATCGAAGTGTTGAAGTGCTTGTACAGTAGGGCTACGATGGCTATCCGAGTACAGAACCAGAGTACGAAACCTATCCAATTGCAGAGAGGTGTAAGACAGGGTGACGTCATATCCCCGAAACTCTTCACCGCTGCATTGGAAGACGTTTTCAAGCTTCTGGACTGGAAAGGATACGGTATCAACATCAATGGCGAGTACATCACTCACCTTCGATTTGCCGACGATATAGTCCTTATGGCAGAATCGCTGGAGGGCCTAAGCACTATGCTCAATGACCTCAATAGTGTTTCCCAACGGATAGGTCTTAAGATGAACATGGACAAAACAAAGATCATGTTTAATGTCCATGTCACACCTATGCCGGTAGTTGTTGGGAGCACTAAGCTCGAAGTTGTTGACGAGTATGTTTACCTGGGACAAATAGTCCGACTAGGTAAGTCCAACTTCGACCGAGAGGTCAATCGACGGATTCAACTCGGCTGGGCAGCGTTCGGGAAGCTACGACACATCTTCTCGTCAGACATACCTCAAAACCTTAAAACGAAATTGTACAACCAGTGCGTGTTGCCAGTGATTACTTACGGAACTGAGACGTGGTCCTTCACTGCTGGTCGTATGAGGAAGCTCAAGGTCGCTCAGCGAGCTATGGAGAGGGCTATGCTCGGAGTTTCTCTGCGTGATAAACTTAGGAATGAGGATATCCGCAGTAGAACCAGAATAACCGACATAGCCCATCGGATTAGTAAGCTGAAGTGGCAGTGGGCCGGCCATATAGCTCGAAGAACCGACAACCGATGGGGAAGAAAGGTTCTCGAGTGGCAGCCTCGTACCGGTAGGCGAAGTGTAGGGCGTCCCCCCACGAGATGGAGTGACGACCTGGTAAGACATGCAGGAAGTCGATGGATGCAGGTGGCTCAGGACCGTGCTTTGTGGCATTCTTTGGGGGAGGCCTATGTTCAGCAGTGGACTTGTGAAGGGCTGTAATGATGAATGATGATGATTCGCCGAATACGAATATTCGGTAAATGTCTACTATTCGGCGAATACGAATATTCGTATTCGTATTCGTTGCATCACTACTAATTATAATAAACCTAAATGTACATATATGTAGCTACATTATCAAATGTTCTTCAGTTTGGATTCAAAGGCAATACTTATGAAGTCATGCCTTATAAGGCAATGTACATTAACAACCGAGCTTTAGAGTCGCACAATGAAATAGGTACATTTTATTACATACTTAAAGTAATCAATGGAATTATTATATTAATGTCAATTTATCTTATTGTTAAATATATTTTTCAAATAATCGACGCAACATTTCTTATGATACAAAAATCAATTTATAACGAGTCGTAATAAATTGTACATATTAAAGTAAAGTAAAGTAAATATGTATATATTTTCTTAAATTATAAATTCTCACGTCTAACCTTTATCAAAATTTCAACAAGTTTTGTAATTGCGTCATTAAAACATTAACTGTGTAGTGGCGTTGAAGGAATATCCCCGAGTCTATATCGTCCCGTTGGTGTCGTAAGAAGCGACAGAGAGTGACCGAACCAGAAGATGAGCAACAGAATTTCTGTACGTGGTAGAACCATGCTGCAGCTATATTAGTAGTATAGTTGTAGCCCGAATGGGTTGGCTCGACCGGAGAAGGACCACGCTCTCACAGAATACCAGCGTTAAAGAGCAGCTTAACACTGCTGTGTTTCGTATAGTGAGTGTAGAGAACCGGAGACCCTTTTTACTGGAAAAGAGACATTCCAGCTTAGTCCTCACGGGTGACAACGCATCTGCATTTTGATTTGTAATAGAGGATAGATGTGGATGTCTATGGGTCACAGCAACCACTTACCATCAGGTGAACTGTGTGCTCGTTTGTCCCCCTATCCTATAAAAAATAGCAAAGAATAGCTGAATAGAAATTAAAAACTGCTGTTTCCAAACCGCGTGCCAAACGTGTCAACTATAACTTTACTTATACTGAGGCATTCTATGGGGAAGAATTTTGTATGGAATGTGATAGGCTCTATGGTAATGAGTCATGAAAACTGAAATATTTATACTTTTAATTTCGTGAAAGGGTAAAGTTTAAAAGACCACATCGGTTGTCAGCAGTAGGTTTGAATATCAGTTCGAGTGCATTTAACTCAATAAGACTATAAATTATATGGCAATAGATTCTTGATTTACATATAACTCGAATTACAGTAAAAATTAATAATACTTAGTATTTTTTATACTAATAAGCGTGAATAGTGCGAACAATAAGCCATCTAGTACCAAGCGTGACAATTGTAACAAGCCCCTCCTGTATAGCGGGAGAGGGCTATATCCAGCAATAGATTTATACGCTTTGAAATATAAAGAAGTCGATGTAATGAGTTCGATTTTAAGAAATTCAATGTCCAATTCTAATATTTTAGAGGAATTTAAGGCAATTTTAATATTTTAACAGTGGTAGAGCCACGCGGCAGCTTTTGCTGTCGCACGGATGGGCCGGCTCGAACCGGGGTAGTACCACGACCTCAGAGAAAACCAGCGTGAAGTAGAGATTTACCTCTGCGTTTCGCTTGGTGAGTGCAGGTGGCCGGAGGCCCTTTTTACTGGAAATGAGGCATTCCATCTTAGTCCTCACGGGTGACTCATCTACATTTTGATTTGTAATAGAGGATAGATGTCTATGGGCCGCAGCAACCACTTACCATCAGGTGGACTGTGTGCTCGTTTGTCACCCTTATTCTATAAAAAAAAAAAGTTCGTATTATTTGTGCGTAGTGATATTTTTAGTCTCAAGAAGAAATTATGTTATCGTTTTCAGGCCAGTAAATCGTCACTTAAAATTGAAAGTAGCAATTTTATTAGAGCCGGCCGGAATCGAACCTGGGCCGGTCACGTGCATTGAAATTTACAACGAGCGCTTGGTCCCTGAGCTAACACGGCTACGATATAAAATAATGATTTTCAACATTAATCATTTTTGTCTCTCGCACAGATCAAGCTCACGGTTATCTGTCCATATATAGTGGACACGGGACTCTGCAAGAACCCGAAGATCAAGTTCCCGACGCTGATGAAGATCGTCTCCCCGCAAATAGCCGCGGATCAAATCGTGCATGCGGTCAGAAGGAATTACTACGAGATAACTATCCCCAGCTCACTTTACTATATCAATAAGGTACTGTATATCAATCAGTACTAATAATGTTTGTAACTGGCGTGTTGAGGCAGCTTAAGAGTGTCGCAAAAGATGATAGAGGTAAATGTAACTGGAGATAGACAGCAGCATTTTTCTTTTTTTTATAGAAATAGGGTGACAAACGAGCACACAGTCCGCCTGATGGTAAGTGGTAGGCTGTGGCCCATAGACATCTACATCTATCTTCGATTACGAATCAAAATGCAGATGCGTTGTCACCCGTGAGCGCTAAGATGGAATGCCTCGTTTCCAGTAAAAAGGGTCTCCGGTTCTCTACACTTACCATACGAAACACAGCAGCGTTAAGCTGCTATTTTACGCTGGTATTCTGTGAGAGCGTGGTATCCTTCCTCGGTCGAGCCGACCCATTCGTGCTACAAGCATAATATAGCTGCAGCATGGCTCTACCACGTAATATCTAGAATGTCGTAAAAACTAAGTAATGGAATATTGGGTTTGTGATTATGGTGGCAATGGGCTAGCCCTAGCACTTCTTTTACAATTTTTCCTAAAACCTAATTCTATAGCTAAACGTCGTCCAAGTAGCTCGCTGATCTTTCGATTCTGCCTCTCGGAGATTACAAGCGCTATGCAATTTTACATCTTTATAATATTAGAATAGACAGATTCTATTTAGTATATACGGTTTAGAATAGGTACAGAATAGGTACATGCAGTGTGGAGTGGCGCTAATAGATACAGCAGCCAAGCAGCACTTTTTCTCCCGAATTAATTACACATATTGAAATTTCGAACTAAAAATTTATTTCATCAAAATATATGGCCTATCAGGCACAATGTAGCTTTCTAAGTGTAGTAGAAAAGTTTTAAGTATCAGTTCGGTAGACAAATGTGTGTCTTTGTGTTTACTTATATGCATCGAGTTATATGTACTACGTACCAACTACGTACTAGAGAAACCTTTCTAAACAAAAAATGTGTACTACTCTATGTCTTCGCGCATGCGCGGGAGATAGTAGAGTCGCGCATGCGCAGTTGATTTAAGCGCGTTGCTCCTGCGCGGTCAGTTTATATAAAAAAATATATTTTTTCATTATTTTTCTTTTACGATATTATTACCTATTTATTCACTTGAACAACAAATAATTTTACTTACTTGACTACTGAATTGTTATTTACGTCCAGGTTTAAACTTTAATTTGAAATCAAGTATTATTAGCGCCGCTCCACACTGCATGAATATTGAAACCACAGACTAACTAGTAGATTGAAACCACACTAAATGACACACTGTACGGATTGCAGTACAGTTCAGTTGAACATAGTGTATGTTAGGAATGCGCAATCTAGTACGTAGTAAATATATATCGATGCTTAGTGTATGTTAGGAATGCGCAATCTAGTACGTAGTAAATATATATCGATGCTTAGTGTATGTTAGGAATGCGCAATCTAGTACGTAGTAAATATATATCGACGCTTATATGTTTGTGCAATTTATTATTATCATTACTAGTAATGGGTTTCTGGTTCTTGTCACTTACCAAACAAAACCAATATTCTATGTGAGCGTTCATATGGCATTAAGTCCGCCGTTTGTACATTTAATACAATAAAATGGATAAATAAATAAATATCACTTTTTTTATAGATTTGCAGAACCTTGCCACGCGCGGTTCCGCTGCATCTGAAAGACTTCCTGGATTCCGGACTTGAGGCACAGGAGTAAAGAAACTTGCGTTTTTTAAAACAGCAATCGTATTTTTATTCATTTATAATGTATAACAGTAGCCTTTAGGTCTAAACTCGAATACATTTCATAGTATATAGTCTTTATAAAAGATTGTCGTAGTTTTAAACTCTTTATGACAAATGCCAAAAACCTTGCAGATATAATTTAATATTAAATTTCTGTCTTTTTACCCATCATTGTGATTGTATTAAAGCTAATTCACATTTCCATGCAATTTTCTGTTCAGGGTGGAAGAGATAAATAGCATTTTTTGTTAATTGAATAATTAATTAACAAAATTCGCAGTTAAGACAACCGTTTTTATTTATATCGTCCGGTAGGCTTCATAATTCAACTTTAAAATATATAAATAAGATTTTTATCGTATTTAAAGATGTTTTAATACAACTCTGTCAGAATCTTATTTACAATGGTTTTTAATATTATAGTCATTAGGTCGACTTTTACAAGTCCTGTAATTTCGCAAGTAGTTTCCTGATATTTAAAATGTAATATAATATCAATTCCATAGTTAATAAATAAAGAATTATTTTTCAAACATATATCATCAACTACGACTATGTATAGGTATATACATTGTACATAGTTGTTGATATTGTTCTCGCGTACCTACCCACATTTTATGACGCAATTTATTATTTAAAGTATTTTTTGCCACAGAAAAAGAAGTTATGTTCTGTGGTTCCTTTTTCGGTGTAAATAAAAGTACTCTATGATTTCATGCACACTCGCTTGATAATTTTACAATTGAATACTATTCAATTGTACCTACATCCAATCGTGTGCTGTACCAAACTGACAAACAACAGCGAGTAAAATGTGATACTACTCTCGAAAATACTTTTTTTTTAAACCAGAGATTTTTACGCGAACAACATACAAATAACAGATTATGTTATATTAAAACATCGTTGAATATTCTATTAAGTCTCGAATATATATTCAATAATATATTATAGACATACAAATAAGCGCCTTAACAACTCAAACGTTATGTACAATGTAATGTTATAATATATCTATCTTGCCGTTTAAAATTTGAAAAAAAAAGAATAAAAGCATGCAACATCCATAATTTTTTAAATAAATAAATAGGTATATCATTACAGAGTGTTTTTTCCATACGAAATTAATGACATAACAATCATCACAAATAATATACAGTAGCTATTTGTTGTCTGATTTATGGTGATATTAATAGTTTAAGTGTGAAGTGATTTTATATAATTTAACTAAGGATTGAGTAAGAAATAAAGAACTTTAAGTTAAAAAGAATGTTTTACGTCATTTTTTTTTTATTTCCACTACCAAGGTGCAAGAGAAAATCATACATTAAACAGTATCTACTTCATCTTTAGTACCTACTTCATCGTTCTTTCGTTATAAAATGCTCCATCATTATTTTATTTCAAAATCGTCATTTGATTACCCCAGAAAGCTGTTTATGCGTTGAAGTCGTTGTGGTTTTAGATGTCAATGTTGTGTAATAGAATTGATTAGAAGAGAATATTTTTATTCAATATAGATTACTACATTATATTTCTTGAAAGTCATTTTTTATTTACTTACCACTAGTTGGATACCTCTGTCCTGGGAAGAACCAGCGAGTTCTACTTGGTCATAATTAATCTTTTTCGAAGGGCAAAAGAAAATTACGTTAATTTCATAGTATTTTATTGTGATTACACAATATCGTAATGAAATATATAATTTATAAATACGAGCTATAACATATTCACAGGTTCTACGCGTTACTCCACATCGATACAATTTGATATAAATTTTCTACTATTTACTAAACTAACTAAACTACTACAATAATGGAAATGTCGATGTTTAGATTTTTATTCTTTTTAATTTTACACAAGAATAGAACTTATAAAATCATTGTTAAATGGGCATAAATAACTTTTTTTTTAATTCTATATGGTGCAATGAAATTCTAAAAATTAAAATATTTGAAAATAATCCGCTAGAATTTCGCCCTCATAGAATTATAATTCTATGTTCGCCCTAGAACTGACAAGATATTCAATAACGTACTTATTTAAACAACTTGTTTTATTTTCTAATATATTTTTTTTTATTTAATATTTTTTTACATAAAGCCTCTTTTCATCATTTCTCAACGTTTTGAGATCTATATAGACGTATATAAGGCATAAAACAAAACAGTAATGTAATAACTTAAAAAAGGAATAAATTATTTCATATGCGAAGGAATGTAATTAGTATATAATATTACTAAGCTTTAACAAAAGTGGTTACGTACCTAAGACATTCTCTCAAAATGGGTATCTACATTTTATTACATATTTTACAGAATACAAAAATATATTACTAAGAAATAAAAATTTAAACCACCTATACCTACTATAACATATTTTGTAACTTATTTGAGCTAATAATCGATTAATTAATCCTTGTTTTATTTCGAATCTACTCACAATGTCTTTTTGCGAAGGTTCAAGGTACCAAAGCTCGGGCCTTCCGCGGAAAACAGTGGCAATGGCAAATGTTATGAATAAAACGTAGTGATTATATACCTTTTGGAATATCTTGTGAATTTAATAACTTGTACACAAACCTATTTTAAAATATAGAATATTTAACTTCCATATTCAGACCAATAAAGAAACAGACCGAACACTGCGTAGGTATGTATTGAGTGATCACACCAATGCTCAACCTCTTGATACGGACTCAATCACACATCTTTCTTCTTTCATTCTTTACCAGCTCGTAAACGTACACTGCTGGACGCACACATATGCAGTTAAAACCATGTTGGTTACATATTATTTAAATGTTTATGTGTATGTATTGACTTGGTTTTTGCTTTTTGGTTACTTGAAATGTACGCAACGCTTTCTTTCTTTCTTTGTAAGTTTGCGCTTTCATTAAAATAAAAAAGTTAAAAAACTATTTTTATAAATCCCATTGTGCATGCCTTAAGCGCGTTAAAAAAATTACTTAGTTATAACATTTTCACCAATAACCTTATTATACTTCAAATTTTAAGTAAAACTTCAATTAAAAAAAAATTAAATATCCAAAAGTGCACGACTCATAATGCTATGATCATCATATCATTATTCAGGTCACTCCATAAAATCCAAGACGTATTTAAGTATATTTATATATAAATCCTACTTACTTTTAGTACGTAGTACTATTATTTATTCTGTGCCTTTAAAATATTGTAATAAAAATCTGTGATCATAATAATAATAAAGTATGTATCAAATTTGGTTTGTATTTGTACAGCGATCTTTTTGAGCACGAGCCGCTGCAAACAACCGATACAGTATCCACTCACGACGGCGGCGAAGCCCGAAGTTAGTGACCGAGGCAGTCTATTTAGTAAAATAAATTATTACAAGGCTGCTCAAAATACCGAAAATTTGGAATTTATCAGCCGAAATAAATTAGTTATAACTAAACAAAACAAAATTAAACTGTCATTTACATACCTTGGCTTCCCACATGATAGATGAACAGATTAAAAAATAGATTGAGTTGAAAAATTGATATTTTCAAAATTTTCCGTATTTACCCCCTCCATGCGAACTTCATAAATCCACACTATAAGCCACTAAAATCATATTTTTATGTAAAAATAATACATAAAAATAACAATTAATTGATTTAAAATTTCAACAATACCACAACCATTACACAAAACAAATTAATAAGTTCAACAACCATTTAACTTTCTGACAATGTACTTTTTATATCATTTATATGTACATTAAAATTGTTATATATGATTTCATGCGAAAAAACGTTGGAATCTTGATTTTTGGGCCCTAGCAGAACATCCTACGCACTTCACACTTAAGGAATGCAACAGTAAGTCAAGAATAATTATCAAATTAAAAGTGACAGCTTATAATACGAGATTTAATAGCAAATTCTTAATATTTTTGGACTATTTATTTATAAAATAATTGTACTAGATATCATGAAAGATCTAAGAATGTTTGATGTCAAAATTGTCTGACAAACATTGGTCGAATATCTGTGAAAAAATTACTAAGAGGGAAGCCTTTCGTCTGAGTACATTCCATCCTTTTACTTATTTCTGATATGAAGCAGCAGTGCACCTACCGATGCAATTTAATTTGAAGGGTATAAATGTACGGCTGTGAGGCCATTCATCGTCGTAATTAGGAGTGACCATAGACAACGCAGCTGTGTCTTTTTTTTCTTTGAAGTTGATTAAAAGGTACAACGGGCTGCAGTAATCACTTACCTTCAGTTAGACAACCCATTAATCACTTAAATATTATTAAAACTTGTATTAACATTTTTATTCGAAGATAAAGAATTAAATTCGCTAATAAAGAGAAATATGCGCGTATAAAAATAGCATCAGAAATAGTAGCTAACTAAGAAAAAATATGAACACGTTTATGTTCAAGACGGACAATAATAAGTTAAACACTCACCTTTTATATATGAAATATATAAAGAATAAGAAAATATATAAAATAATATATGAAGATAGTAATTGTAATTTTGAATAATTACAGTTAAATAAGTATTACAACATTCATGGTCAATTTATAATCTGTCGTAAAAGTATTGATTCAGTGTGAGCATGATACCTAATATAATATTGAACCCAAAATCAAATTTATCTGTGCTTATTTGATTATTAAATTAGGAAGTTCAGTTCTAAAATTTCTCATTTTTGTATATTCATATGAACTTAAAATGCATTTTTCTTAATAATTCAAAATTGCTGCCAGTTTAATTAATTATTAATTAATATTAAACAACTTTACACAAAATTAAACGTTGTGAAATAATTAAAATACAAAAAAAAAAACAATTTTTTTACTTTACCTAAAATTTACATAATAAAAACTTTATAAGATATTTAACCTGGTTAAAACAATTGTAAAGTTATTTTTAACTAAATGCAATAATTGCAAAATCACGAAACAAACAAAAAAGGAGAAAACAACTCCCTCTTTGTTTAAAAGCCAAAAATATGTTTAAGTTTTGTGTTATGTTAGAGGTAGATTAGTACCGTACGTATCTGAAAAAGTAAAGAACCATATCTAAAATATATCGAGATAACTCTAAATTATATTAATTATTAAATACTAGGCTAAGCCTTTAACCTATTTTAAAATAAAGTCATCACACAACTGGAGTAGGATTTACCCTAATGTCTGACGGAGCAGACTGTGGTTACCGTCAGTTGTCAGAAAATTCGTCCAAAAACGCTAAATCCAATTTTACAGATAGAAATAGCTGAATAATATTTATCATTAAACAACATAACGCATCTTACGTCAAATATCTAAAGTAACATTTTCACTACATACAATTATTGTATATTTTCTAAGAACAAATTTTAATTAAATAGCCTTAAATATATTCTTATGCACTTAACTACTCAGGAATAAGGTATACATTTTGACTACTAAATTAAATAGGAAAGTTTTCTGGAAGCAAAACACTCAAAGAGATCTAACCCCATATTTCAAATAATATTCCTTTCATTATATTACACAACATCAAATTATAGAGAATAATATAATATTATGAATACTGAATGCATATATCGTGTAGTGGCGGTGTAAGAATATCCACTACCCCATATCGTTTCGTACGTGTCGTAAAAGCGACAGAGGGAAACAAACACGAAGGATAAGCAACAGCCCGTTCTTAATAATGACTAGAAAACAACTATGGCAAAGTTGTCTTTCAAAGGTGATCTATGGAGAGGCCTATGTATAACTTTGGACTTTGATCGGCTGTATGATGATGATGATTACGAACCCAACGATTATAATGACAATTTTATTACGTATTTTAGTAAACATCTATTGGCTTACTTTATATAACTTAAGAAAAGGAAAATTTTAAATTAACCTACATCCAGTTGCAATGTTTAACTTATAAAAAAATATCTTACTATTTTATTTATCAATTTAAATTAAATAATGGACAATATAATATCGTAATCGAAAAATGTCATATAATCCCGTCAAACCCAAACGAATATGCGATTTTGATCTTTATTACAGTTTCAATATAACATCAATTATTTTTCCATAGTATCAACCACATTTGTTTTCAAATATGTGCTACATCTAACACATTACATAGCGTCACAAATGTAAAGTTTTTAATTTACTTCAACTTAGAAAATGTCAACGTCTTTCAAATGTTGGTAGTTGCGATCCCAGTAGCCTCCGTTGTAGAGCCAATCCTCTTGCTTCGTGTAAGGATTCGTACCTTGACTGAACCATCTGTAAAAGTAACAAGTAATAAAATCTTCGCTGTGTATAACATTACCCCACGTCGTCCCGTGGATCGCATAAGGGACGACACATGGGAACTGAAATAGGAGATTGATGACTGCATCTTCCTGATAAAAACTCTAAATAATAAAAACGGCTGGGAACCCGCCTGTCAAACTTGAAAACTATGGCAAAATCCGTTCTATGAGGCAATCTACGGGGGAGGTATATTTTCAGCAGTGGGCTATAATAGGCTGTAACGGCAACGGTGCAATATCATCATTCAACATCATCATTCCATCACAAGTCCAATACCGAACATAGGCCTCCTCCAAGGAATGCGACACAACACGGTCCCGACGTCAGAAGCTGTTATGTAATAATTATTTTATTGTTGTTTTTGAAGTTGGATTTTACTTAGGTATTAGGAAGTTTTTTTTAGTCTTTTGTGTGGAATATGAAATATTACCAGTTCAAAGTAACAACTAGAATGTTGCAAAATAGTTACATTAAAAACTTCAGCCCCTAATTTTTTATTCTTTTATTTATTTGAACTAAAACTATTCTAGATGGTAGGCCGCCTTTTCTGTCTAGGTGTCCGTCTGGCTAGCTACCACTCTCTTACCAAATTTCTACCTGGCTACCACTCTCTTACCAAATTTCTACCTGGTTACCACTCTCTTACCAAATTTCTACCTGGCTACCACTCTCTTACCAAATTTCTACCTGGCTACCACTCTCTTACCAAATTTCTAGCTAGCTACCACTCTCTTACCGTTTTCTAGCTAGCTACCACTCTCTTACCAAATTTCTAGCTAGCTACCACTCTCTTACCAATTTCTAGCTGGCTACCACTCTCTTACCAATTTCTAGCTGGCTACCACTCTCTTACCGATTTCTAGCTAGCTAACACTCTCTTACCAATTTCTGGCTAGTTACCACTCTCTTACCCATTTCTAGCTAGCTACCACTCTCTTAACAATTTCTAGCTGGCTACCACTCTCTTACCAATTTCTAGCTAGCTACCACTCTCTTACCAAATTTCTAGCTAGCTACCACTCTCTTACCAACTTCTAGCTGGCTACCAGTCTATTACCAATTTCTAGCTAGCTACCACACTCTTACCGATTTCTAGCTAACTACCACTTTCGAACTACCTACCACTCTCTTTCCGATTTTCTAGCTAGCTACCACTCTCTTACCAAATTTCTAGCTAGCTACCACTCTCTTACCAATTTCTAGCTGGCTACCACTCTCTTACCAATTTCTAGCTGGCTACCACTCTCTTACCAATTTCTAGCTAGCTAACACTCTCTTACCAATTTCTGGCTAGTTACCACTCTCTTACCCATTTCTAGCTAGCTACCACTCTCTTAACAATTTCTAGCTGGCTACCACTCTCTTACCAATTTCTAGCTAGCTACCACTCCCTTACCAAATTTCTAGCTAGCTACCACTCTCTTACCCATTTCTAGCTAGCTACCACTCTCTTACCAATTTCTAGCTGGCTGCCACTCTCTTACCCTTTTATAGCTAGCTACCACTCTCTTACCAATTTCTAGCTGGCTACCACTCTCTTACCAATTTCTAGCTGGCTACCACTCTCTTACCAATTTCTAGCTAGCTAACACTCTCTTACCAATTTCTAGCTGGCTGCCACTCTCTTACCCTTTTATAGCTAGCTAACACTCTCTTACCAATTTCTGGCTAGTTACCACTCTCTTACCCATTTCTAGCTAGCTACCACTCTCTTAACAATTTCTAGCTGGCTACCACTCTTACCAATTTCTAGCTAGCTAACACTCTCTTACCAATTTCTGGCTAGTTACCACTCTCTTACCCATTTCTAGCTAGCTACCACTCTCTTAACAATTTCTAGCTAGCTACCACACTCTTGCCAAATAGTGTGTGCACTGCTATTCGGTATAGAGAACCAGTATAATTACATGAGGCGCGGCATTTCATCTTAGTCTTCAGACGTGACAACGCATCTGTGGCTACTTTATTTGAAGTTGGTTACAGGTGTACATGGGCAGCAATTGCCAACTGTAAGTTCGTTAGTCACTTCAATTTAGGTAAAAAAACAGGGACCACTAAGTATACTCATGTTATAAAGCAAGAATCATTATTCATTACTCGTATTCACGAGACATCGGTAAAAATACATAAAAATACATGTCGAATATACAGAACCTACTCGTTTTTTGAAATCCGTTAAAATAACATTAGCAAAATGAATGACAACTTTTATAATTAAAATATTATATCATGAACACATAACATTAATACGCATTATAATATTTCTATTCAATATGTCTGCATATATATATATATATATATATATATATATATATATATATATATATATATGTGTGTGTGTGTGTGTGTGTGTGTGTGTGTGTGTGTGTGTATTCTGTGTTTAGTTTCAATTTTTTATATTAATTTTGCTTTGTTACGCAGCACTCGAAACAAAGGAATATGATACCTGTATGATAAAATTCATAAAATAAATTAACAATTAAATTAAATCCCAGAATTTTTTGCCGGTTTGGCATTGACTCGAAACAAAGGAGTATAATAATGATTAATGATAAGTCATCACGCGATCTGACTAGATACCGCCGGCGCTCATGTTTGGCGGCACTTCACGTTGGCCAACATAGTGGCGAATGTGTTGGCAGAGATATTGGACAAGAATTTGTGATCACGTCCACACGTTGGAAGGTCGTTCAGTTTGCTTTGGTTCAGGCCAATGTGCAGACGAATTTATTAAAATGATTATTGATGCGCTAACGACTGCTGCGGTTTATTTATTAACAGCATACCACTATAACGTGAATGTGTATAAGAAAAGGGTGATCGAAAAGAAATGGAAAAAAGGAACTTTTATTTCTTGACGACTCCGTGGCGTAGTGGCTTAGCAATGAGTTGCTGCGTTGGGGGGCGTGGGTTCGAATCCCGCACGGAACAAGTATTTGTATGGCCTGCAAATAATTGCTCCGGGTCTGGATGTTTATTCTTATGCAATTTATGTTTGTAAACTGCCTCCACGATAAATCCTAATGTGGGGGTAGCGTTTATTTAAAAATACTTGAAAAAGCTTATGTTTCACAATCAATTTCCGGCTTGGTAGCGATATATAAAGCGAAAAGTTTTTCATTGGTCATTGTTACTGCCATTATGTAGACAATAGTTACGATACGTACATATAAAATTTAAATAAGGTGCGTGCGATCACTCTGGGAGCTCATAGCAAACTGAATCCCTGGTATATACTGACTGGCCTGTTGGTCTAGTGGTTAGTGACCCTGACTGCTACGCCGGAGGTCGTGGGTTCGATTCCCACCCAGGACAAATGTTTGTGTGATGAGCACGATCATTTGTTCTGTGTCTGGGTGTAATTTATCTATAATATTTATGTATTTAGAAATATATAAGTATGTTTATCAGTTGTCTAGTACCCATAACACAAGCTCTGCTTAGCTTGGGACTAGATGGCGTTGTTTGATAGTTGTGGAATATTATTATTATTATTATTATAGTGTATTTTTATATAGTTTCAATACGTAAACTGGTATTTTACTTCGAATTATGATCAAAATTTAATAAAGCATTCGTCCACCTCACACGTTGCCTGCAGCGCGACTGGCTCGGGTACACCGATTTCGGCGTAGTATTTGTTGCCGCATTTTACGGCGGCTCTACACGTTGGCCAACATACTGGCGAATGTGTTGCCCAACAACGATGGCCATCGTGTAGAGCGGGTGTTTAAGCTACATTGGTACGTATTGGAACGATGGCCCACAAGTTGGCGCGAGATCCGTCTGGTGTCGGTTTTTTTACAAAAGATCAAAGGGTTGTGGCAGAGTATTGGCCGCCGCGTCCACACGTTGGGCGCACGTTCAGTTTGTTACGAGCTCCCAGAGTGATTGCACGTACCTGATTTAAATTCATATATGCACGCATCGTAACTAGTGTCTACATAACGGCAGTAACAATGACCAATGAAAAAACTTTTCGCTTTTTAGAGCCCTACCAAGCCGAAAATTGTTTGTGAAACACAAGTCTTTTTTAAAAAAAAAACGTTACCCCCACACTAAGATTTTCTCCTGTATCGTGGAGGCAGTTTAGAAGCATAACTTGCATAAGGACAAACATCCAGACCCGGAGCAATTATGTGCAGGCTATACAAATACTTGTTCCGTGCGGGATTCGAACCCGCGGCCCCCAGCGCAGAAACTCATTGCTAAGCCACTACGCCACGGCGCCGTCAATAATTTCTTTTTTTCCATTTCTTTTTGATCAACCTTTTCTTATACATATTCACGTTGTAGTGATTGATTATATTAATTTATTTATTGATGTATTAATTGATTTATTGATGTATTAATGATATGAGACTAGGTAGGATACTAAAATCAAATTAAAAAGTAGGATACTAAAATCATGTTTTTACTGTCTTTATTATTCCCTATTAGTTATTTTATTTCGTTAATAATACTGTAATTTTTAGCTATGGAAGAGCGATAATATTTTCCAGGCTTTAGTTGTAAAAGTGTTAATTATACCTATGCCTAGGTGTAATAATGTTTATATAGTTTATTTATCTGTATAACGTTAGTGTATAATAAAGAAATATTAAAAATTTATATTAAAAAAAATATTAAAAATAGTGAAAATTTTATAAAAAACAGTGGTATGCTGTGAATAAATAAACCGCAACAGCCGTTAGCGCTTCAATAATCATTTTGATAAATTCGTCCGCACATTGGCCTGAACCGAAGCAAACTGAACGACCTTCCAACGTGTGGACGCGATCACAAATTCTTGGCCAATATCTTTGCCAACAAATTCGCCACTATGTTGGCCAACGTGAAGAGCCGCCATCAGACAACTGCAGATCCAACTGAATAGCCTAAGTAATAAATATAAAATTAAAATTTTTGTACAGCCGACTTCAATATAAGTTATTAAGAATAACTCAAAAACTATTGGTCTGACATTGATC